GGATCCCTTGGTGGTGGTCGTGGTCGTGGCAGCAGTAGTAGCTGCAGCAGTACCATCATCACCAGTCAAAGGGCGGAGAATGGCAATACTTGACACATGCTAAAGCAATGATCACAATGATGTTGCAGCGTGCCGTTATTACTAGCAGCACCCGCAGCTCATGCTGAATGGAACTATAGAGTTGAGGAGCTTCTGTCGCAAGGCATAGTGACCAGTATGTTCATACAGTAGCCAGTGTAGTTGCCAGCTTTGTAATGGCAACCTATTTCCTGAGACGGAGAAGAAGGCAACATTGCAGGGGACAAGAACTACGCGGTGTTGGAAGGGCAGGCATAGCAGAAGAACCTTGCTTCGACAAACCAGGCTCATCGCTGCTTATCAGCACAATCGCCTTCATGCCAGCGGCTTCCGGCATGCAGAGTACCAGGACATGGTCCAGGCTGGCTGACTCGCAAGAACATAATATTATTTTTTGCTTGGAAAACTTACAAGTTACAAGGTTTCAATAGCGCTTGCTTCTGTGACTTGCTCGGCAGTTTCTGAGCGCGGCCTCCCAAGCCTAAAGCCGCTCTTCGGAGGCTTGCACGCCGCTGGGTGAGAAGGCGACGGCCTGCTACGCCCGCTATCCAGGTGCATAGGGGACAGTCACTTGCAGTCCGGCAGCTGGAAGAACTCAGTTAGCCAGGTCTCACAAGTTTGGAATCGTGGCAGCGAGATGCCCACTTTACATTTTCTGTTTCACTTGGGATGCAGCAGGCATTGCGGGTTGCACTGCCCGCATGCTCACCGGCGGTGCTTGTGCGGAGGCCTCGAGTAAACGGCCGTGCCCCCAGAAAGTGGCTCAGGGCTTTCGGGGGAAGGATGGATGACCATTGAGTTTAGTCTGCTGCCGGAGTGACTTGCTATGCTCGCTCTTCCTTGAGATGTTCCTGCAAACGCCGTTTCTTGCCCTTTCCCACCCTGTGCCAGAGTTCGGATTCCGAAGGAATGGTGAGCCTTTCGATGGAGGACGACGAAGACTGGATATGCTGGAGGCCTGAGGCATGCATGTAAAAGGATTCATGTGACATACGTAGGCCCGCATGTGACTGCAATGTAAATCAGTGACGGTATGTATTTGTGGATTCATGCTTTCCCACGTACGTACCGACATCCGAAAATCTTTAACAGGCTGTTGTATCGTACTACATCCATGTGATGATGTATCCGAAGCACGAGGATATGAGGCTGTATGAAAGATAAGTGTATTCGTCCTCATCGTTCGCAACAGTTGGCTTAGTTTGAAAGCGGGTCCGTAAGCGCGCGGCTCACGAGCCTGGCCCAGTCCCAGAGAGCTCGAGCTGGTTGCTTCTACTCGCTTGCTTCGTGAACTCTCATGTGGTTGGTGGGTCTCACAGGTTGGCAGGTCTCGCCTGCGGGATGGGGGTTTCGGACAGTTCGGAGCTTTCCAGCTCCTCAAGAAACATCCGAATGCCCTTGCTCCCTTCTTAAGGACATGGTCTCACCGAGCGTCGGGACGAGTCGGTTTGCCTGTTCCATGGCATGCTACCTGGCATACTTAGTAGATCAATCATCTGCAACAGCTTAGCGCAGATTGGCCTGCAGACCCTGATCCAGTCACATACGCAAACTGCTCGAAGAGAAGAACAGAACTCGGCGTAGTTCTTTCGAGGTTGGGCGGCGACGTAAGCCTGCACAGCTGGTGGACTGCCATTCCGGAGGACTGCTGTGGCAACTAGCTTGGAAGCTACAGAGTGCTGACTTCCACATCATGTCATCCACTTTGAGGTCAAAAAGGCAGCTTCACTTATTTCGCATCTCACGGTTGCCCGAGAGTTCCTATGCGCAAGCAGGCGGGATTGCTTTTGCGCACGTACTTCCAGCATGCGCAGCTCGGCATGCTGCTAATCCAATTTCATCCACGAGCGGGTTTGGTGCGACTCACGAGCGGGACGCGGGGGGTCGCAGGAAGCCCAAGGGCGGCACACGCATTAAACAAAGTAATGAGCAGGAGTCACTTAAAGACTTGTGTCTCATCCTACAAGTACAGAGCCGGTTCATAGATCTTGCTCGAGAATCTCAGCATGTGGAAGCTTGCATGAGCTGATGAGGAAAGCTCTCCCCAGGCAGCCTTTCGTTTCAAAGGTAAGAACTTGTTCTGCCAGAAGGCTTAGGGGTGTGTCCCCCGGTCCCGTTTTTGCGGCCATTCCCCGTGCTATGCAGGGATTTAGAGCTGCCTTTTTTTCGCTCCAGCGGGTGGGGTTCTAAACGACCCTCCAATGGAGAAGCGAGCCCCCCATGATGCTCGCCTGCCGGCGCCAATTGGGATCTCAGGATGCTCATGATGCGCTGAGCTGGCTTCGCTTCCTTGAGACGCCTAGCTTCTTCTGTGTGATCGTTATCTTTTCAGCGATTTTAAGATACAGGGTCTAGGGCTTTGAGTTGCGCAAGGGTTGTGTATGATCCCGCTCGTTTTCTTCTGTATGCTCCTTGGAAGCTGAAACAACTGTGTATGACACCATCCGTTGTCTTTTTCAGCGATTCTAAGATACAGGGTCTAGGCCTTTGAGTGCGCAAGGGTTGTGGATGGCCCCGTTCGTTTTCTTCTGTATGCTCCATGGAAACTGAAACAGCTGTGTATGACACCATTCGTTGTCTTTTTCAGCGACTTTAAGATACAGGGTCTGGGGCTTTGAGTGCGCAAGGGTTGCGTATGACCCCGTTCGTTTTCTTCTGTATGCTCCTGGAAACTGAAACAACTGTGTATGACACCATCCGTTGTCTTTTTCAGCGATTTTAAGATACAGGGTCCAGGGCTTTGAGTGCGCAAGGGTTGTGTATGACCCCGTTCTTTTTCTTCTGTATGCTCCTTGGAAACTGAAACAACTGTGAATGACACCATTCGTTGTCTTTTTAGCGATTTTAAGATACACTCTAGGGCTTTGAGTGCGCAAGGGTTGCGTATGACCCCGCTCGTTTTCTTCTGTATGCTCATTGGAAACTGAAACAACTGTGTATGACACTATTTGTTATCTGTTTTCAGCGATTTTAAGATACAGGGTCTAGGGCTTTGAGTGCGCAAGGGTTGTGTATGACCCCGTTCGTTTTCTTCTGTATGCTCCTTGGAAACTGAAACAGCTGTGTATGACACCATTCGTTGTCTTTTTCAGCGATTCTAAGATACAGGGTCTAGGGCTTTGAGTGCGCAAGGGTTGCGTATGACCCCGTTCGTTTTCTTCTGTATGCTCCTTGGAAACTGAAACAATTGTGAATGACACCATTCGTTGTCTTTTTTCAGCGATTTTAAGATACAGGGTCTAGGGCTTTGAGTGCGCAAGGGTTGTGTATGACCCCGTTCGTTTTCTTCTGTATGCTCCTTGGAAACTGAAACAACTGTGTATGACACCATTCGTTGTCTTTGTCAGCGATTTTAAGATACAGGGTCTAGGGCTTTGAGTGCGCACGGGTTGTGAATGACCCTGTTCGTTTTCTTCTGTGTGCTCCTTGGAAACCGAAACAACTGCGTATGACACCATTCGTTGTCTTTTTCAACGATTTTAAAATACAGGGTCTAGGGCTTTGAGTGCGCAAGGGTTGTGTATGACCCCATTCGTTTTCTTCTGTATGCTCCATGGAAACTGAAACAACTGTGTATGATACCATTCGTTGTCTTTTTAAGCGATTTTAAGATACAGGGTCTAGGGTTTTGAGTGCGCACGGGGTTACTTTTCTTCTGTATGCTCCTTGGAAACTGAAACAACCGTGTATGACACCATCTGTTGTCTTTTTCAGCGATCTTAAGATACAGGGTCTAGGGCTTTGAGTGCGCAAGGGTTGTGTATGACCCCGTTCGCTTTCTTGTATATGCTGCTTGGAAACTGAAACAACTGTGTATGACACCATTCATTGTCTTTTTCAGCGATTTTAAGAATTTTAAGATACAGGGTCTAGGGGCTTTGAGTGCCCAAGGGTTGTGTATGACCTTGTTCTTTTTCTTCTGTATGCTCCTTGGAAACTGAAACAACTGTGAATGACACCATTCGTTGTCTTTTTAAGCGATTTTAAGATACAGGGTCTAGGGCTCTGAGTGCGCAAGGTTGTGTATGACCCCATTCGTTTTCTTCTGTATGCTCCTTGGAAACTGAAACAACTGAGTATGACACCATTCGTTGTCTTTTTCAGCGATTTTAACATACAGGGTCTAGGGTTTTGAGTGCGCAAGGGTTGCGTATGACCCCGTTCGTTTTCTTCTGTAGGCTCCTTGGAAACTGAAACAACTGAGTATGACACCATTCGTTGTCTTTTTCAGCGATTTTAAGATACAGGGTCTAGGGCTTTGAGTGCGCAAGGGTTGTGTATGACCCCGTTCGTTTTCTTCTGTATCCATTCGTTGTCTTTTTCAGCGATTTTAAGGTACAGGGTCTAGGGCTTTGAGTGCGCACGGGTTGTGTATGACCCCATTCGTTTTCTTCTGTATGCTCCTTGGAAACTGAAACAACTGTGTATGACACCATTCGTTGTCCTTTTTCAGCGATTTCAAGATACAGGGTCTAGGGTTTTGAGTGCGCAAGGGTTGTGTATGACCCCCTTCGTTTTCTTCTGTGTGCTCCTTGGGAACTGAAACAACTGAGTATGACACCATTCGTTTCCATTTTCGACGGTTTTAGGGGTTAGGGTCTTGGGCTTTGGGTGCACAAGTATTGTGTCTGAACCTCGTTCGTTTTCCTCTGTATGTTCCCTGGAGACTTTTTCAACGGGTCTAGGGCTTTGGGTGCACAAGGGTTGTGTGTGACCCCGTTCGTTTTCTTCTGTATGCTCCTCAGAAACCGAAATAACAGATATAACAGTGTATTCCTCAACTCCCAAATTTTTTTCCCAGTGATGCTCATGATGCGCTTAGCTTTTCTGTGCTTTCGTCACCCCCCTCCGGGTCTCAAGTACATGCGAGTTGCACTTTTGCTGATGCAGTCTTGTCGTGACAGGATCGCGTGGCAACTCTCATGTGGAATACAGGCGGCGCTTTGATCGCAGATGCGCAGATGATGAAATCCGGGCAGCAGTTTGTGCGTATCTCATCGTCCATGGCTGTGGCTCATGTCTTCAATTCCCCGAACCATGTCATACGTATCCCGACACAGCCAACAATTCTTTGGTGACTTGAGCCAGTGACTGCCAGTGGGTGTCGCTGGGAGGTTGGCACTTCGAATGCTACCACGCCATTGCCTGCATCGGTGCAGTTCTGCACACTTTGAACCTTAGCCCCGTGGCGGAAGTATGGTCTTCTGTACTTCGGTTCTGCCAGAAACCTTATCGCATCTAGACGTTCTGCATGTGTCGAGATTTAGGAAGACAGTCAATCTTGCGCAGGGCATCGGATCATGGATTTTGACTCGTGCTGCGACCTTTTTTCTGAGCACATGGACGGAGAAAGGAAGGACTCGCAAGCAGATGCTGTTACGTAGCTCAAACCCTGTCCACAGCCAAGGGCTGAATCCTTCAGACCTGGAGTACATCATTTCTCATGCCCAGGCTTGTCTTGTCATGCTTGATGGAATGCGAAGTTTCACGGTTTCCGGGCCTGCCAATCTTGCTCTTGGGAGGATCGCGTCATCATTGTCGATGCGGTCCTTTGCACAGTATTGAAGCAGGCCGAGAGTGAATCGAGACTTGCGGGCGAATTCACTCAGCGGGCCTCGACACAGATCGATGCAGCTGCATTAGCCTCGGTCGAGCTCTTTGTCTTCGTGCGCGAGGACGGCGGCATAGCTGCAAATCCAAGCTGGGGGCCTTGAGAGGGTTGTAGAAGGCGAGCACATGGCTTTCGAAGGTCAGGCTGGCAAGTGGTCTCTTCCCGCAGAGATAGAGACCTGGCTGCAGCAAGGGGAGTGTTCAGACCAACCGTCGCCGTCCCGTGTGTGCGACCGGAATTGAATGGAATGAACATGAGGACGCGCAAAAGGCGATCGACTACGATGCCTTTCTCGCGTCTGGTGATCAGGAGCACCGATTGATTGAACCCGTAAGCTTGGCCAGCATGACACCGACCGAATGAAACCAAAGAGGACTTCCAATGGCCCTTGGTGCCGGAAACCTCGACTATGGGCTTGTGCATCGTGGCTGCATGTGGTGTGTAGATTTTACGGTCCTATTAGCAAGGGGCTCCCGGTTCTTCTGCCGGCTAGTCTGCGGCGACTTACCCTTCTGTTTCCAAGTGCTGGCATCTACAGCTAAAGACACTGTAGCCGCAAAAAAACTGTGTAGGTTACACCTCGGGCACGACCGGAAGACCGAAAGGAGGGCCGGGAACTTTGCTTTCTTGGGCTTCCTTTTGCAAGAAGCATTCGAAGGATCCGTTCGAGGACACATAGGATCACGTCAATGCTGTGTCTTGCACGGCTTGGCCAGTCTTTGGAATTCCAGGTAGTATTTTTGGACTTGTGGTCGATGGAGTCTGTGAACTTGAAAACCGGACGAGCTTGCGAAGCTGCAGAACTTTTGGATGTTCTTGAAGTTAGTCAGTTGCTGGCCGTGCAACACTTCTTGGGTTCATGTCATCTTGAACCAGCGACAGCACGCAGAAAATATTTTCGACGGCCTATGCCCTACAAATAGGACCTGCTACCGACATCTACCGACCAGGAGTTGGTTACTCACAGCGCGCGACGTACTTGCACACGCAGCTCGGCCAGGGAAGCCCAAGGCACACCGGTGAAATGCGGTTGAAGAATGTGCATCATTGTAAGGCTCATGTCCAATGGCGTGGATCAGCTCGGCATCTCCGGGCGCAGTGTCGTGCTCCCGCCGCTTGGAATGATGCTTGTGCCATCACCGAATGAGAAGAGCCAGTACCAGTGACTCCTGGTGGGGAACAGTGCGAGCATGTAGTGTTATTAGGAAGCATTGCGCAGAAGACTGGTCTTCAATCCCTTCTGAGCAGGTTCGTTCCCATGTTCCATGTTCTCAGTTGCTTGGCTTGACTGGGACGTTGCTGCGGATGCAGGGCACACGACATGCAACACCTTGGCTATGGATTGCTTGCTGTTTCGAGTACTTGGTGGAAAGCTGCTTTCCGGCCTGCAGTCAGTCTCGCGAAGCATGTTAAGGCTGGGGGGTGCCCTTCAACATCCTCATGATGGGCTGTCGTGCTGTGTTCCCTTCCCACTTTACGGATGCAGGCACGTTGCGGGGCTGTGCTGTAGCTCCGCCATCTCAGCCGATTTCAGTTCTTACTCGAATGCCTATTGCTTTCCCGGCCAGGGTCGCTTCTTCAGATGTTCGGAGACTGGAAGCTTGGCAGCGCAGATCTGAAAACGGTTGTCTCATAGGGGTAGGTTCACGGCACATCCTTGGACTCCTTGGACTAAAGTTAGCTGAAGCCCAGCAACCACCAGGGCCTGGATCCCTGCATCAGTACCAGTAGCCTCGTTCAGAATGCAAGTGCACCGGCTTCCGGTGTGTCCGAGGACAGTGCAGCTCTCGTGCGGCGTCCCGAGTGTTTGGCTGGGAGTTCGAGCGCAGATCGAGAAAGAAGGACTGGAAGGGGTTTGCCTTTGGAAGTGCATCGATCTCTGGCTGTCCTTCGCATTCGACCCTCGCAGCCTGCAGCTTTGTCGAAGACCACTTGCTAGCATCCCGCAGCAGATTGGCTTCAGCCTTTCCGCCTCTCACGTTGCAGGAATCAAGTCCGCCAATCAGAAAACGAGCTTCAAGTAGAACTCCGTTCCGCAAATTGCAGGGATTGGAATTTAGGCTCCGAAGCCGCGGTACCAGACATGGTCCTGGACCTCTGTCCCGAGTTCTACGTCGGTAGCAAGGAAAACCTGGAGAACCTGTTTTGGCAACCGGAAGCCGAAGAACACCAACGGCGCCGTTAGTTGGCACCCAAGGTCGAGGACATGTGCAGGCGCTCACACCATCGCAGGCTTCCACCAAGTTGCAACTCGCCTAGCCCCAGTGGCATCGGTTCTGGACCGGAGCCTTTGCCAAGCGTTCCCACGCACAATCCACAGTCCTGCCGTGTTGTTTCCTTATGCAGTCCCCCAACAAACCCCTCCGGTCACCACTCGCGTGCTGCAGCCTTCGGAGGAAACCAGCCCATTGTGCACTCTCCCGTGTACGTTAGCAGGCGCGTGCTTCTTCCGCCACGAATGCTCGTGCCGGCCTAGTCCTGAGCGCTGATGATGTGAAGGCTTGGGCACGAAGCTTTCGTGCCAGACCGATGGAGTTTCGCCATCGATAAAAGGGGGTTCGAGCTTACTGCGACCTTAAGCCATCAGGCTCCCAAACCGCGAACCTTAAATCGTGAGTCCCAGACTAACATGTTTAGCATTGTTTAGCGCTGGAGAAGGCAAATTGAGGTAACCCGCCAAACCTCCGTCCATGGAACGCGATGAAAAGCTTGAAGCCTTACGTGTGAACGTCAACTGTGTTGTGCATATAATGCGCGAGAATAGCGACATAAGGTACTTCCCACGGGTAGCAGCCAGCTCCAGGGCCCCGAATCCACCATGGCGAACTGGCAGCGCAGCGGTCCACTCATTGACCCGCTGGCGGAAGACGCGACGGTGGTTGATCGCCAAATGTTAATCAGGGATGCGCTGCGACAAGAGGACCCTCAGAGCATGGTCTTGAGGTCCCCTGGTGCTGTCGGCACCCGTGCCGCGGAGAAGGCTGCACGCCAGTGGGCGCAGGAAGAGCCCTCCTATCATGCCAGCGCAGCGAGTGCCGTAGAAGCGCAGGAAAGATTCCCGGTGCCACATTGGTCGCCCAGACTCCAAATGTGTTGCCCAGCTTCCAGCCAAGCTTCAGGGCCATGTCTAGGTTGCCGTGCTTGAGGGCTTCCAGCCACGCCTAGTCGGTGGCAGAACCAGCATTTGACCCTCACGACATGGAACCCAGAAGTGGGTGCGGCAACATGGCTACTCTGACATCCAAAAGCGCCCATAAAAGTGCAATCGAGATGTTAACGTAGCGGACCAGCATATAGTCAAATGGGGCGCATGTCACCCGGTCGGCGAAGCTGCAAGGGACAGGAGTAAGGAGCACCGAGTGGATGTCCGCGGTAGGCCGCCAGGTGTAGGTGGTGTGCGTAGAGGAAGTTGGTGGAGCGACCCCGGGATCGGTCGTCCGCATCGGAACCGCCACCTTCCCACGGGTCCGCCCGCCTGGCAAGCAGCAGCGCCTTCCCAAGAGTGGCTCTCGGGCGAGGCCACGCCGCCAAGGGTCCTAGAAGGCCAATGGACAATTTTCCCTGGCCGAAAAAGGGTTGCGCGTTCCCAGAGGCTTTGTGCCGGCACTCCATCACGCGATCGGCCACGATGGGTACGAACGAAACCGCTCCTAGACTTCGAAGAAAGAGCCCCAACTATAAATGCTGAGGATGTCGCACCGAATCTTAATATCAAGCAATAAAGGGCTCTATGAGGCTCTATGCAGGGGTTTATGGTTCTGTAGATTCCGTACTTCCGTGCTCAAAACCCAATCCCGAGGCCGAGTCTTCAGCGGAAACGTCCCCCGCCGCAGCGGCTCAAGTGCAAATATCGATGCTGGTACACGTAAGAATGGAGTCTGGATAGAGGTTGGAACGTCCAAGCCGCCGAAAAGCACTAATTATCCATCATGCAGACGAGGCGGTAGGATGGAAGATACAAGTTTGACGCTTCTACGCTTGAGTCCTCTACTGTAAGAGCCCTTTCCCGCTTTTCCCAGGCCGTAAAAGGCTTGGATTAGATTCGTTAGATTTGAATGACGGTGTATCCAGGTCCTCCAGTAGTGCCCTTTCATGGGTTTCGTTTCTTGCTATTGGAAAGGGTACGCGCGCGCTCAACAAGGCACTGAGGTGCTACTGGTGAACCATATGACAGCTCCTGTGTCCCGTTGCAATTCGGCCCCAACCGGTGCCTATGAGCCCGCAAGCACTGCATTCTGGCTTGAGCCGGAAATATCTGGTTGGGCTCGTTGTCTTGAGTCCTTCAGCTAAGTTACAAGCTGGGGGCTGTCCGAAGTTTGTCATGGGGCTTTCGACGAATTCTGTTTTGTTGTTGTCGATGGTTGAAGTTGGACTTGGCCTGGACCTCATGTTGATGATATTGATGTCGAGTAGGTGGTCTAGTCGTCGTCCTCATCATGATGGTCGTCATCGTCGTCGTGGTCGTCGTCGTCATTGTCGTAGTAGTAGTGGTAGTAGTTGTAGTAGTATTGGTAGTAGTAGTAGTAGTAGTAGCAGCAGTAGTAGTAGTAGCAGTAGTAGTAGCAGTAGTAGGAGTAGTAGTAGTAGCAGTAGTAGTAGTAGTAGTAGTAGTAGTAGTAGTAGTAGTGGTAGTGGTGGTGGTGGTGGTGGTGGTAATAGCAGTGGTGGTAGTAGCAGTAGTGCTAGTGGTAGTGGTAGTAGTAGCAGGAGTAGGAGTAGGAGTAGGAGTAGGAGTAGGAGTAGGAGTAGGAGTAGGAGTAGGAGTAGGAGCAGGAGCAGGAGCAGGAGCAGGAGCAGGAGCAGGAGCAGGAGGCAGGAGCAGGAGCAGGAGCAGGAGTAGGAGTAGGAGTAGGAGTAGGAGTAGGAGTAGGAGTAGGGGTAGGGGTAGGAGTAAATGTAGGAGTAGGAGTTGGAGCAGGAGTAGGAGTAGCAGGAGTAAGAGTAGGCTTGGAGCAGGAGTGCAGTAATTAGTGCCAATGTGGTGGTAATCGTGGTAGTCGTGGTGTAGTGCTAATAATGGTAATTGGAAAACCGGTACAGTGGTGCGATGCGGTAATGGTAGTGATAGTAGTGGTAGTGCAAATAGCAGCAGTAGGCGGAGGAGTCGATGTGTTAGTGCTAGTGGTAACCGCCACTATCCGCCTGCCCAGCAACAGCTAAAGAATTGTGAAGATATCCCACTGCTTCCATCACCTGCCGTTCGAACATGGCAAGTTGCACATGCAGCAACAGCGCCACCATCCCAAAGCTCTGCCCTACCATGCTTTTTGAAGGAGTCGCGAAGTGGAAGCCGGTGCTGGCTTTGCAGCGCCTCGTCTGCGGAGGCAATGGTTTGGGTCCCGAACACTGGCAGCTTGGTGGGGTTCGCAACTGGTGTCAAGATCGCGGCACGCGGGCCCACGAAACCGGCCATCCATCTCAGCATGTTGCAATAGTATCTGTGTATGTGAATATATCATGTACATATGATTATTCACTGTTTACCTATATTGGTACCGTCCATACATAACATGCATGCATGCTGTTAGCTAATCATCTGTTTGTTTGTTTGTTTGTTTGTTTGTTTGTGGTTGTGTTGGGTTGTTTGTACAGCTTGTACATTTGCGCAATGTGTATTCGAGCGCATGTGCATTTTCATTGGATTGACGGGGACACGGTATCACGTCTAGTATGATGTAAGTAGATAGAAATCTACATATACTTTTAGACAGAAGCAACCATGTGTACGTGTGCACATGTTTGTCCATCCATCCATCCATCCATCCCATCCCATCCCATGGTACCTGCGTAAGATTTTTTTGAGTTCTCTGTCTCAGCATATTTCCGCGTTGCTTTGTTGTGCTCGCGTTGTTGTGCAAGGGATCATGCGTGTTTTTTGATGGCCATACACGCAGCGGTTGGGAGCGCTTGTTGCCCGCCCTCTTCCAGGCTTTCTGATACCGAAATTGCGCCTTCTGCCACTGCGAGGCTCAAAGCAAAAAAACGCCAGTGACTGCATTCATTTCTGACGTTCTTTTTGCCCTGCTCTGCTTCCCTATGTGCGATTGCCAGAGCGGTCCAAGCACATGAACACCGGTCGTGATGCCAAAGTCGCAAGCCAGTAGTTAGAGTGGTCAGAGCAGTGTGTAGAGGGAGTGGTAGTAGTGATAGTAGTGCTGCTAGTAGCAGAATACTAGGAAGGCTAGTGACCGGCTAGTAGTACCACTATTCGTGAGCGGACCAAGATCGCGGTCTTCAGGTGTTGGTTCAACCATGTCAGAGAGGCTTGAAGAGTTGATGGCTTGAGCCTCCAGCAGCTTGAATTTGAGTGCAGCAGCGTTTCGCGAGTCTCGACATGACACTGTGCAAGCATGGACAGTGCGTGAGGGTGTCCCCATGCAGTTTCGAGTGTTCCGAAGCTAGGAGCTTTAAGCACAGCAGTGAGTCAGAACATGCAACATCAGTTTTTGGTTTCAAGCCCACGCAAATTCTGCCAAAAGCCATGGCCACGCAGATACCGGTGAATGGCAGAGATGCTTGCATTAAGTCAACAGGGGGCGTGGTAGCATCTGTGCAGTGAACCCAGTTACACCGAGTATCGGCATAGAAACCTCCCACAGGATGACATGGAAGATGCATGACATCGACCTTAGGCTGTTAAGTCAGCACAGCAACGCAGCAGTTGATTTTTCAAGCTCTTTCAATCGAGCCCAGCAATTGGCAGATGGGAACCCCTCAGTAAAGCGGCAAGGGTTCAATGAACTGATGATGCCGTCATCAGGGTGATCACAACAGCAACAACAACAACCACAGCAACAACACTAAGCGGGCAACCACGCAAACTCTCGAGCCCTGTAGGTTGTTCTAGTCTTGTAGAAGAAATGATCCAAGTTCCGGTGCCCCATCTGTCGTGCTGACCCCCCCCCTCTCCGGGAAATAAGGGTTGTTGTTTCCATTGCTGCAGAATAAGATTCTGGATCCTCGGGTGTGCCCCTCGCAGCAAGCGCAGCTTTGCACGGCCGCCCTAGGTCTCGTAAATTCATTCAATTCGATGGGGCACCAGTCATTGGTTCTACCAACAAGGCGGCCAAGACCAACATCATCAGCACTGCAGGCCATCGTTAGTGTGCAGCATTCATTGAAGTCAGCAAGCACTGTAAACACCGATGCAGAGTCCTTGCAGGAGGCGCATATCAGACTATCCTTATTGGTTCTAGTATTCCTGCGTTTCCCATGCCATTTTTGGCATATTTTGGCATTCGGCAGAACAGTATCGAACCTGCAAAAGCGACATGCGCCAAGGATCTCGAGCCTTTGCTCCTGAGCCGAATTTGCGATCGGGGTGCAGCGCTGCAGCCCGACAACCTCATCATCACCAGGAGTCTGCCTTGAAGGGCTGATGTTGCCGACGATTTAAGCTCAGGGCTTCTCCGCAAACGTCGAATGAGTGTTTAAGTCGCATGGCATAGCAGCACCGCCCATTGTCTGAATCGTTTTTTGGTGCGATGGGAAGCCATTCTCTTGGGCATCCGGGGGCTTTGAGGATCGTGAAAATGCGAGTCTTCAACACCGGCCGTCGTCAAAGAAGATTTCTTGTAACAAGCAAAGGGGATTGGGTTGCACTCCAGGACACCGTCCGGTTATGTGACACAGACTTATGTGGAGCACGGCCGGCGGGCAACTTGGCTGAATGCACATGGTGTTGAATGCGGTTGTCGTCTTCTGAAGTGGCATTTGGAGTACCAGCACGTCGTCAACAACACAACTCCACATGGTGTTGCAGTGCTTTCTTCTTCGGTGAGGTCTTTTGCTAGGAGTATCAAGGTCGTTCGAGCTGCGGCGTTGAAAGGGCCATGTTGTCTGGGGGGTGTGCAGTCTCCGTGGAGAGCAAGACTCTGTTGCTGGGTTTTGGCCTGGCAATAATCCCTTGCGACATCTCCGAAGATGTTCTACCGGTGCTTGTCAGCTTGCAGTTGCCACGTCCAGGTGACGAGCAAGATCTTGTACATTCAATAGCGCGTAACTTGCCAAGACTGTTCATTGATAGTGTCGTCGTGATAGGCTGAAGAGGTCCAGTATTACGTTCCTCTCCTGCCGCACGTCGTGTGCACATGCCTGTACTGCGTGTTGGCCTTTTAGGAAAGCTCGCTAAGGCGAAGCAGCTGGGATCTGCCCTGACAAAATGGGGAGTGAACTGTGAGGACTCGGGGGCCTTGTCAGCAGGTGCTTCAAACATGTATTTTGCGGAGCACTGAACTCCAGACATGTGCAAGTCGTGCTGTAGCAGCTCGGCAGGGGTCGCAGGAAACCCAAGGGCGGCATACACGTCACACAAAGCAATGAGCAGGAGTCACTTAAAGACTTGTTTCTCATCCTACAAGTATAGAGCCGGTTCATAGATCGTGGAAGCTTGCATGAGCTGATACATGCGAGTTGCACTGTTGCTGATGCAGTCTTGTCGTGACAGGATCGCGTGGCGACTCTCATGTGGAATACAGGCCGCGCTTTGATCGGAGATACGCAGATAATGAAATCTGGGCAGCAGTTTGTGCGTATCTCATCGTCCATGGCTCTGGCTCATGTCTTCCATTCCCCGAACCGTGTCATACGTATCCCGACACAGCCAACAATTCTTTGGTGACTTGAGCCAGTGACTGCCAGTGGGTGTCGCTGGGAGGTTGGCACTTCGAATGCTACCACGCCATTGCCTGCATCGGTGCAGTTCTGCACACTTTGAACCTTAGCCCCGTGGCGGAAGTATGGTCTTCTGTGCTTCGGTTGTGCCAGAGACCTTATCGCATCTAGACGTTCTGCATGTGTCGAGATTTAGGAAGACAGTCAATCTTGCGCAGGGCATCGGATCATGGATTTTGACACGTGCTGCGACCTTTTTCTGAGCACATGGACGGAGACAGGAAGTACTCGCAACCAGATGCTGTTACGCAGCTCAAACCCTGTCACAGCCAAGGGCTGAATCCTTCAGACCTGGAGTACATCATATCTCATGCCCAGGCTTGTCTTGTCATGCTTGATGGAATGCGAAGTTTCACGGTTTCCGGACCTGCCAGTCTTGCTCTTGGGAGGATCGCGTCATCATTGTCGATGCGGTCCTTTGCACAGTATTGAAGCAGGCCGAGAGTGAATCGAGACTTGCGGGCGAATTCACTCAGCGCGCCTCGACACAGATCGATGCAGCTGCATTAGCCTCGGTCGAGCTCTTTGTCTTCGTGGGTGAGGACGGCGGCATAGCTGCAAATCCAAGCTGGGGGCCTTGAGACGGTGGTAGAAGGCGAGCACATGGCTTTCGAAGGTCAGGCTGGCAAGTGGTCTCTGCCCGCAGAGATAGAGACCTGGCTGCAGCAAGGGGAGTGTTCAGACCAACCGTCGCCGTCCCGTGTGTGCGACCGGAATTGAATGGAATGAACATGAGGACGCGCAAAAGGCGATCGACTACGATGCCTTTCTCGCGTCTGGTGATCAGGAGCACCGATTGATTGAACCCGTAAGCTTGGCCAGCATGACACCGACCGAATGAAACCAAAGAGGACTTCCAATGGCCCTTGGTGCCGGAAACCTCGACTATGGGCTTGTGCATCGTGGCTGCATGTGGTGTGTAGATTTTACGGTCCTATTAGCAAGGGGCTCCCGGTTCTTCTGCCGGCTAGTCTGCGGCGACTTACCCTTCTGTTTCCAAGTGCTGGCATCTACAGCTAAAGACACTGTAGCCGCAAAAAAACTGTGTAGGTTACACCTCGGGCACGACCGGAAGACCGAAAGGAGGGCCGGGAACTTTGCTTTCTTGGGCTTCCTTTTGCAAGAAGCATTCGAAGGATCCGTTCGAGGACACATAGGATCACGTCAATGCTGTGTCTTGCACGGCTTGGCCAGTCTTTGGAATTCCAGGTAGTATTTTTGGACTTGTGGTCGATGGAGTCTGTGAACTTGAAAACCGGACGAGCTTGCGAAGCTGCAGAACTTTTGGATGTTCTTGAAGTTAGTCAGTTGCTGGCCGTGCAACACTTCTTCTGATCATGTCATCTTGAACCCGCGACAGCACACTGAGATATTGTCGACGGCCTATGCCCTACCAATAGGACCTGCTACCGACATCTACCGACCAGGAGTTGGCTACTCGCAGCGCGCGACGTACTTGCACACGCAGCTTGGCCCGGGAAGCCCAAGGCACACCGGTGAAATGCGGTTGAAGACTGTCGATCATTGTGAGGCTCATGTCCAATGGCGTGGATCAGCTCGGCATCTCCGGGCGCAGTGTTGTGCTCCCGCCGCTTGGAATGATGCTTGTGCCATCACCGAATGAGAAGACCAGAACGGGTGACTCCTGGTCGGGAACAGTGTTATTAGGAAACATTGCGCAGAAGACTGGTCTTCAATCCCTGCTGGCAGGTTCGTTCCCATGTTCCATGTTCTCAGTTGCTTGGCTTGACTGGGACGTTGCTGCGGATGCAGGGCACACGAAATGCAACACCTTGGCTATGGCTTGCTTGCTGCTGCGAGTGCTCGGTGGAAGGG